GGAAGAAAAAAAAAAAAGAAAAAAAAAAGAAAAGAGAGAGAACTTTGGCCAGGGCAAGCCAAACAGTTACTCACTACTTCCAGCACAAATCAAGAAACAACAGCTGAAGGCTTTGTTAGATACTTCTGGGTACATACTCTTCACATCTCCTTCAAAGGAAACTTTCTTCACTCTTCCACATGGAAAGTGAAACAAGTTACACATGCTGGATCCGTAATCCCTTTCTTCTCCTCAGCACTGAAGCCTCAAATTTCACTCTAGATCATGTCACAAGTCTAGCTGTGCCAAGAGAAACCAGGCCTAAGGAAGCATCTAGTCAAACATCACAAATGTATATTATACCAAGTCTGTTCTGTTTAAAGACTTATGCTTTCTTGATAGCACTCCTTTTCTGGTAGAGGTCACCAACTTTACTGAAACAGTCAAGTTCCTCTTCTACTTGGAACATGCAAAGCTTAACACTGGAAGGGAACATTACATTTCAGACAGACTAAGAAAAAGGGCAAAAGAAAATGAAGAGAACAACCCAGAAGAGATCACCCTGACTACCCTTCAGAGACTACCTACCTGCAGAAAGCAAATTCAAAACGTAGAAGCCACCTTAGTGCACCACAAGCACTAGTAGAGGTTCCAAAACCAGATTCCTCTGTTCTGCTTGTGGATTTCACCTTAGATTGCTTCAATACCACTTTTGATTCCAGGCCCTGATCTTACCTCCCAGTTCTCTGCCACAAATTGCTTCCACTCTTGAGCAGTGTGGGCTTTTTTTTTCTTTAGTAAAGAATAAAAAACTGCTTCCACTCCCAAAAGTTAAAGCATCACCCACCTCCCCAAACAGCTAAAGCTTTGTCCCAGCTTTAAACCAAAGCATTACACTGCGTGAGATAATAAAAGGGTCTCTCCCTGCACTCAACTTGCACTGTTAAATGAAGACAAAAAAGCTAAATAGGAAGCCAGAATCCAGTAGCTCCACGTTCCCTACCTCTCACCAACCAAATTTGCAAATCCAGGCTATGGGAAAAGTCCAAACCACTAAAGCTAAAGACCACTAGTGCCATCTGGAGGCCATACAGAACAGCCCACCTAACGTTTTCTGTCAACCTCTGCTCACACTTGAGTGTTGTCCTCCAAAGAGACCTTGCCAGCACTTCCTGCACAAACATGCCAACTCCACTGCCACAGAAGAAGGGAAAAGTTTAGTAATTAAAGATACTGGTTGCAATAAATTTATACCCATCACATGAAATCATTCAACTACGAGTCTGGCTAGAAGCCTTTAGCCATAGCTGACCCTACAGCTGAAATTGCACAGCAGGCAGTTGAAGTTCAGTCACAGAACTAGGAGTAACCCTCCTAAGTCAGGACTGTCCTTGGACTGGAGATAACATCTCATTATTCCTTCTACACCAGTCACACAGTTGTACTGGTACAGCTGACCATATCACAGAGCAGCATTAAGATACCTAGCGCCACAGTTAGTCTTCATATACTAGCTACCTCTCACAGAGAGCTGTAAGATGGGATGCGATTTGAAGGAAAGGATAACTACCATTAGTAATACTGTGGTGTCCTGTACATATATGTTCCACTTGTCATGTATGTAGACACCATGTGCTCTAGATTTGACTATAGTTTAAACAAATTGAATCTAAACACATGTAAGACTATTAAGAATTTTAGAACACTGAAAATTAATTTGCAATTTTACTGCCACATGGGATCTTACCAAGACAGAAAGTTCAGAATTGATGAGACTAATGCTTCTGGATGGATACCCAGAAAGAAAACTTAAGTTACTTGCTCAGGGTTGACTACAACACTGTTTCAAGCTCTAGAGGTAAATATTCTGAATGTCAAAAGAACAAAGAAATTCAGCCAGCCAGCATCCAGGTTAACAAGTAGGGACACTGGTTCACATACTCAAAGAAATCAGATCATTGTTTCAAGAGACCTTTTACCTAGGACAGCCCAGGTGATCTACAGATCTACAGTAGGAGGTCCTGGACTATTATCTTCCAGGAAGGTATTTCCAGGCACATGAAGGTTAAAACAATTATTGGGAACAGCAAGCACAAGTTTTCTGAGAGCAAATCCACTCTGATGCTTTCTGATTGCCTTCTAGGATGACATGAATGGTTCCGGGGACAAAGGGAAAGCAGAGGATGACATGGCGCAAGACCTGAGCACTCAAATGGCCACTGTAAACCTAGAGGAATGGACTAACAGAACCCTCATGAACTTTAGCAAAAGCAGATGCAGAAGTCTTGCACCTGGAAGGAATAATCCTGTTCAACAGTACACGCTGGGCAGATAGAAAGCAGCTCTGCAAAACAGGCAAGCAGTCCTGGTGGACAAGAAGGACAAGAGGCAACAGTTAAACTGCAACAAAGAAAATTCTGATTGGATATAAAACTCACACACACACTTAGAGTAAGAATGGTGAGACACTGGAACAGATTGTCAGGAAAGACTATGGAATTTCCATTCTTAGACGATATTCAAAACTTTATGGTATAAGGCTGTAAAACACCTGCCCAAACTTTGAAGAAGGTCTTGTCTTGAGAAGGAGGTTGGACTAAAAACCTCCAGACTTCCCTTCCCACCTAAATAATTTGATGATTCTATCTTAAGGGAGTCACTGGAAATGTCTGACCAGTGTATTTCAGTCAAAAGACTATACTTGTTTCCTTCTTCATTTCTCTCCCTAGACCTCTAATACAACTAGAATTGTTAAAAAAAGCATACATATCCCCACATACACTTCACTGCCCCCAAGCAAAACATGTCACTACGCTGTCAGAGACAAAAATGCTATTTATCATAGAACTGGCACACTTGTCCCCAAACAGACTAGAACACTTGTTTCTTACACAGATGGATTTTTCCAGATGTAAACTCCTTTGTTACAAGATGATCAGGAGAACTACCTTTAAGACATTAATGATTGTGCAAATCCTACTTTGGAGGCCTGCTATGCAGTGCCCAATTTCGGAACATCCTAGCAATCTGCTCATATATTCACAATCAATGGTCTTGTTTCCCTCTTCACTTTCCAATAACATGCAATACTAGCAACTAATAATATAATTGCCAATTCCCAAGAGAAAAGTCTTGCATGCCAGGCATGTTTAAGACTCCTTTTCTAAAGTGAATATAGTTGTCAAGTTTTCCACTGACTAAGATGAGCTGCCCCTTTCTGCCTCCCTTTAGGGAAACAATCTGTTCACATTACCTTTGCAGGCAGAGGCACAACACACCTGAAGGGGATCTGTCCATCAGTTTAAAGGAGGATATGTCTTGTGGGATCATTATTAATATCCTTTTGAATTCAGTATCTGCTTTGGATAGAGTTAAGTTGGATTTAGTATCTGCCCGAGTCAGAGCCATGCAGGCTTGAACCTGAGAGATATTCTTTCTGGGTACATCAGATATGCTTATAAGACAGATCCAGCATTGCTTAAAACTGTTGCAAAGACAGTCCTATGATGCTCTTCTCAAACACCACTACAGTTAAGTTTTTGGTCTGTTGGAAATTCAGAGGAACTTTATTGGTTACTATAGACAGGTATTCAGCTAAACCTCTGTGATGAAGAGAAACAGGTATTTTTGGTAGGTAAGTTTTCCTCCTGGGAATCTTAAGTATCTTTCATGACTGACATGCAAAATAAAATTGACATCCTGCAGGGTAAGAACAGTGAACTAGTCTAAACCCACTTACTCAATACTGTAGAAACTACAAATACTGACCTAAAATTTAGAAGAGCAGTTGAAAGTATTAAAACAAAGGCCAATACAGCCAACAACAGGTCTCCAACTGTTTTTGTCTTCAGGATTAAAACAGAAATTGAGAAAGTTTAGATTTCCTTCACCTTGGAGAATGGAGAAGGGGCATATTTAAACTCTGTAGGACTCCCTAACTGGCACTTCTCTCATTTCCTGTTGTGTCAGAAGTACAGAGGCAAGCAAGACATCTCTGGATCACCAAGTGCAGGTACACTGAGAAAGAAGAAACCTTTCCTACCTGGCCAATCCTTCCTCGTAGAGATAGATGACAAGTGGATCATAGGATGTAACCAGAACATAGAGGCGCACATCAAATTTGAAATCTGAAATACAGTTGTCAAGAGTCAGTGACTGCAAATATCTTTCAGACATTATATCCAGTTGAGGAATTTCAACAGACCCTCAGAACAATAAACCATTATCTGCTGCTGACATAGATGCCTGAAGCTTTTCCAGCTGAAAAGCTTCTGGATTTTAAGACATTCTCTAGTTATATTTTTCTAGTACTAGAGGAAGATAGACCATGCAATTATTCAACTAAATTTCTGCAAAGGTTGCAGAGATCCTCAGGTGTGGGATTGGAGGAAGAGGGGGAAAGCAATTCCTAAGCACACTCACCATCTATGAGCAGGGGGTTGCTGATGTAACGAGAAACCAGGGTGTTGTCTTCCAGGACAATCTGGTTTGGCTACAGAAGAACAGAGAATCCAAGAGTGAAAAAAACAAGAGGCTTAAGGAATAAGAAGATGAGTAGATCAAACCCACCATTTTTTCCAGCCTTTCCCTCCTAAAGCCACTCTGTACCAAAAACTATGTCTGGGGAAGCAGGAAACAAAACCAAAATGAAAACACATCACTGTCAGTCACAACATACTGTAAGTAATTAGATCCTAACCAGAAGCCTGGGAACAATTACATTGCCAAAAAACCTGCCCATTGAATCTTCCAGTTAAGTGCTCCTTAGAGTAGAATACAGATTTAACAACCACATGGCAATGATGTAAAATAGGCAGGAAAAAAAACACATCTAAGAAGTGACTGTCATTGCTTCTCAAGCATTTAAGGAAACAGATGAAGGAGGGGCTTAGAAGACACTGGAAGGAGTATGTAACTACAGTTGTTGAGGAAGTCACAAGTGAAGAAAATGACTCAACTTGTTATCTTTATAGCTAGACCCTGGGCCTTTTTGCCTACATTTCTGCCTTCTACTGAGGCTCAGTTCACAGCAGGGGCTACTGGACCAACAAGATGCTACCCCTGTAGCTCAAAACAGAAAGCTCTATCTATGACAAATATACATTGCAAAGTCATGGGATCTGTTGAAAAAACTCTTACTTTTTTCTGTGTGCAAGCCTGTCTCTTGTAACCAGTTTCAACTACTCATACAAACAATTTCTTGGAAAACATTTTCTTGCCTTCAGTTTGCAAAAGAGCCAAGAGAACCCCATCATACTGCCTTTATTCAATTTTGCATGTATTCAGCCACATCACCACGAGCAGGAAGCCTAGGCATATAGAGTACGCATCTACAATATGAGGGAACAATTTCAACTTCCCTCAGCACATTACACAAAAGTGACAGTCTGTTTTATTATGGATGAGAGAAATCCAATGGTTTGTGGTTTTGTCGTTGTTGTTGTTTTTAAACATTTTTGTGATGAGATTCTAGAAGACATTCTCTTAATGGCATCACACTGAAGGAAACCAAAGTCTTTGGGCCAAACTAGCTGAAGCGTTTCTGGAACAGATAAACACAAAGGGAGATGGGTCCCAGAAGGGTCTTTTCCCCAGTTCATGGCCAAGTGCCATATAAGCCTGAGCTCGTTCCTCTCTTTCAAGCAAAGAAAAAGCTGAGTGCAGCTCTGGAAATACTTACCTCATACATCTGGCAAATTGCTCCCTTATTTTATGGGAAATTATCCAAGTAGAAAACAGATGAGGCAGCATGACCCCTTCAGTGCAGGGGAGGCTAAAGGGGTTTGAGTGAGTGAAAACAAAATGACTCACCAGTCAGTTTTTCTGCTGAGAATATTTACTGGAATTCCCTCATGTGTTTGGCTCCTGCCCAGATGTATTTGTTACCTATGACAATCTAACTCCCTGCAAAGCCCAAAAAGGGCAAAAGACACTGTAACCAGCACACTGAATTCAAAGAACCATCCCCATTACACTCAAGTAAGGGTGCTCTGGCATTTAGATAATACAGCTCTAAGATTGATACACATCCTACTGTATCACAAAGTTTCATTTTAACTGGTCTTTTCCAGGGGGAAGAGGGAGACGGGAATCATTTGAGGACTGTTTAGGTCACACAGGGAAACAACTAAGGCAAGTTCTGGCAGTCTTCCCAAGGCCAGCCTACTGTTAGCCACAGGGAGAGCATGAAGCAGCACAGCTTCCCAAACCATCTCAGGGAGCATGAACACGCTCCTAATAAGCTAAGACTTGAAAGTAGTTTGCAAGATAAGCACAGCATACAAAGAAATAGGTTGCTTTTGGTTATGCAGCATAGGCCCAGGCAGGCTTTACTAGCTGCTCAGGACTGTTGAACTGCTCACCAACATATGGTTGAAATCCAGAGCAGGGCCAACATCTAGTTAGATGTTTCCATGCCCCTTGCCTGGAAGCTGGCATAGTTTTGCAGACAGTGTTACTGAAGAGCAGTCCTTTTTCTGAACACTTACATTGTTTATCAGGTAGACACCTCGACCCCTGGAAGAGGCCACAGGCTTCACTATCCATGGGCCTCTGTCCTTAGAATAGGTATCTGGTTAAAAGAAAAGAGCGTAAGTTTGGAACATCTTCCAGTTCGATTATTTACAGAGGACTAAGAATCAAGACTGTTACCTACAGTAAAAGCTATAGAGAACTCCATGAGGAGATCAAAGTCTACTTTTTTGATGTACTATTTTACCCCTCAGGACTCACTGCCATTATTATGGCCCCTCCCTGAAGACCTTCCTGCTGCTGCAGTACATTCAGTTCTCTAACCTATGTCTCTGTTTGGCACTTCTCTCTTCAGTACTCCCAGATATTAGTCAGGGATGTTGTGAAGCTGATCATCAACAACACTGTGCACAAAAAACGAAAGCTCAATTCTGGAGCCTTAAGCCCACATCAGCTTCCTGAAGACTTACACAGGCACGGGATAAACAGCAGAGTAGAAATTGTATAAAGCAATTACATGGGCCTTTTCCACTGTCTTTCCAGTTTCCTCTAATTTTGTTGTCTTAACCACTGTCATGATCAACAGCCTGGGATATTAAAATTCCCTTCCTCTCACCCAGTTATTTTGCTTTAGGTGTGGGCATCATCAGCCATTCACTTACTGCAGAAGTCCTGGTACTCTGACGGGAGGATAAAGGTCTGAGGTAAGATATGGAACGTCTTGAATCCATGGGCCAGCTGCATACGACTGACGTTCTTGTATAGTCTGTCCTTTCGTGTCAGTTCATATGACCTGAAGTCCCAAAACAAGAGACTATATTTTTTTTCCTCCACATAAAACCTCCACATTACAGCAACCTTCATCCTAGTTACTGAAGCAGCTATAGCCAGTCAGATGTCTAAATCTTAACCTGTAATTACTCTTCAGTTTTACTGTCTCAGTCCTATGGACATATTAATATCCATCCTCATTTGTAGCACCTCTTGCAATTCCCAAGATGGACTGAAGCACAATAAACTGTTATAATGGTATTTGTAAACTTTAGCAGGTGACATATGACTATCTCTGTAACTAAGAGCCCAAAGCCCCAAATACTTTACCTATACCACCAGATAAAGAAAAAAAAAGTTTAAAAATCCCGTATTTGGGCAACAGACAAGCACTTCAACTCACATACTATCTCCCCAAAACCCCAAAGACTGTTTAGAATGAAGACAGCATGTGGCACAGGCCCAGTGCATTGGGACTTTACAGTATCATGTACACTGTATTTTTTTAAAGCTATCTATGTTCAGATTTTTGCAAACTATCACAAATATGTTCAGCAAAACATGGTATTGAGGCCTTACCTGGGGAAATGATTGACTTTCTGAATATCTGTAAGGGAACGTAGCAAGTAGGGCTTCAAGTGTGATCCTGTCCACATGAGATTATAATCACTGCTATTAGGGTGCACCTAAAAAGCAACATAAAAACACCACACTCACAAAAACATAGAACAAATGAAAAACACCACCACTTGTCCTACAGACTGTGATCTTATGTCTACGAGACCAAAGCAATTCTAGTTTAAGACAATCTCCTCTGCCCATCTCTAATATTAGAGCAATTCTAGCCAGATTCCTGTCCTAAGCTACTATATAGCAATGCTGGGAAATAACCACGTCATAGTTTTCTAAACGAACTTGTGGTTTTGTTCTTTTTATAGACTGTTTAAACCCAATTTGTAAAACATTTTAGATTTCTTCAGGAAACTTGAGACCAATTCCTTAACTTGGTGTTACTATTAAACCCACCATATACACACACCTCTCAAACTGTCATTAGCTGTCTTTAGAGCAAGACAGGTTCTAGAAGAGAAACGTGAGCTTGCAAAGGCTGAAAGATTAAATCCTTCAGATAATCCCAAGGGCATGAGATGATGCTTTAAAAGCAAGAAGAGAAAAGACACATGACCCATCTTCATCACCCTTTTTTCCCCTAATTTTGCAGGCTTAAGGCTAAAGGGTACTCCTTTGAGAGAGCAAAATCATGACATATTTCCTGTCTGACTGGCAGAGCATGTAAAAAAAAAAAACAAAAACACACAACATCAAGGGGGTCCACAGCAACTTCCTGGTTCTAACATTGCAGAGTTAAAAAAAAAAACACCAAACAAAAACAAACAAAAAAAAAATCAACAAAACAAAACATCATAATCACCACCTTCCAGCCCAGCACATAATCAGATCTGAAGTTCATTGCACTCACCTCATGGAATCCATGGGCAGTCAAAATGCTTCGCACCAGACGGCTGTCTGTTCGCACAATCTTATAGGACAAGTGGTAGCGCTCTGTTAAGAGGGCAAGAGACATATTAGAGTCTGCACCTAGAAGAATAAACCACAGTTACCTATGCTACCAAAGAAGAGAGAAGAGCACTGCTGGACTCCACACAGCTGTACATAATCCACAGTGGAGCATCCACACAGCAGCAGCACATAACAGGGAAAGGGTGATAGGAAACGCCTGTCCATCCCTTGGGACATTAACTCCAATGATGGCATTGAACTGACTTACATCAACCCTTAGGTATAATATTGCTGCATCACTGAACCCTATCATATCAAAATAGAACACGGGAGATCCTAACAAATACCCAGGTTTGTTTGGTATTTTTTAAAACAGCTCTTTATATAGACTGCTTTATAATATTCTGAACATGATTTCAGCTCTTTCTTTTCTATTCAAGATTGGTATTCCTAGCTAAAAGTAACCATGCCATATGCCCCTCATTGACATGGCTAGCTTCTATGATCACTTTTTAGATCTCAAAAACCCAAACCAAAGTACTGAATTTTTGTTCACATCTCATTCACCTGTACTGATCTTCCAATAAATAACTGCAAAAAATAGTAGGCAATAAAGTAAATAGGACAAGGAAAGAAAAAGAGAAAATCACTATCCAAGTAGAAAGTCATAAAAACAAAAGCAGTAAGCACTACTGGAGATACAAGATAAACAGAAAGCAATTAGCAAGCCTAGAGGCCTGCTGTCATAAAAAAGGATGTGGCAATCCATAACAGAGTTCAAAGAAAGCAGAGGCAGAAATTGCAACACTAGAGTACAGAATCACTTGAAAAAGGCACTTTACAAATTGGTTCAAACTGAGAATAGAAAGATGAAGATTAGATTAAACCTCAGGAAATATGTTCTACCATTAAAAGTAAGTCTAAAGAAAAGAGTAAGAAGTGTCATAATATGGGACCAAACAAAGCTCAAGGAAATTTAACAAGTTGTGCTATTCAGCAGTAGACTAGCTAAACTACGAAAAGCCTCTACCTGCTGAGAAAAGGCAGAAGAGACACCACACTCCAGTTAGGATACAAGTTACAATTACCATCAGCTTCTGCCACCATTTGAGTATGTTTTTAACTCACATGAAAAGATCAGGAGTTTCCACACACAAATCACGTTTCTCCACCCCTTACCCAAATGAGCCAGAAGCATTTCTGCTTGGATAGGATATTAGAAATGAGGGCACCAATTACCTAAGAAAGGGAGAAGCAAGAGAAGAAAGAAGTGTCAGCGTCTTCACAAAAAGAAGCTGAGTAGATTTTAGCTTTTCTCCAACTCAGCACATCCAGAATGAGCTCCAAGCTGTACACACCCGCAAGTACCAACTCTTGCAATCCAGAGTGACTGTTTATAACAACTCTGCCTCTTATTTAGAATTCTCCCTTATTTGACACTAGACAGGTTTGGTCTCTCAATTCAAGTGCTGCCAGAGCAACAATCATTTTGCTTACAAGCCTTACTCACACTTGTGAGGCTGTAGACACAGAGATTTGTTACTACAGCTTACTATTATTCTTACCACTGTTGGGCTGGCTGCTTTATTTCCCAGTGAAACTCTCTCAAAACTCACTGCAATGATTGATTTTAAGTTCTTAGCTACGGAGTAGTGAATTTATATCCTGGTCACAAGTTCTAGAGTGGCCTACAAGTTTGCAAGCAGACATTTCCAACCCAAAACACATCAGGACCCAATGGAGGGACAAACACAGACACTTGTCACAACCCAAAGACTTGATAAACATTCACCAACTGATCAAGCATTTCTGAACAACTCAGTGCTCAGAGACAAGATAGGACTGTAATTTCCTTCCTACCATGTCCTCTTCCCCACCACAAAGAGAAGGGAACATCCAAGTAAGAGACTTCTACCTCATGCCTTCAGGCCATAAACTGGCACATAGTTGCACCCACCTCCAATTAGGCGGAGGTAGCTGTCGTTGGTCAGAATGGCTTCAGCATGAAACACCAAGATGGGGATCCGCCTGCAGCCACCACCAGTCCACTTGATACATGGATGATCCCTGAAATGGCAAGATAGACAGTATAAGCAACTGCTGAGCCTTATACACACAGCAGTTACCTAAAATGAGGACATAGCAATTCTCTGTACTTGCCCATGCTTGCCCACCTAGCCTGTGGGCAGGACACAGACAAATACACTGTGAGAAAAATAACAGAAGATGGGCGAGGAGGATTATAAGTACACTCAAGTGACTTGCAGCTGGGCTATAGAAAAATACATGCATCATTCTAATTGTTGCCTATTCTTGTGTGTTTGACAAGTAGAACATCTGCGTTCAGATAGCATAGGCCTATGACAGACTCAGAGACACCCTACTGAACATGCTTGAGATTCCTGTCCTGCTGTGGCACAGATCAAAGCACAGCACTAAACTACGCCTGCACGAATCCCTGAAAAGCAGGCGCAATCAGCAGGTTCAGTGATCCTCTAGGAAGGACCGAGCTCCGCAGGGCCTGCATCTCCGCTTGTGTGCCTCTGCTCAGGTGCTGGTTTGGGGATCCCTCAGTTGGTGAGGCAGTGAAAATAAATTTACTCTTTTTCATTTCAGTCATGGTTTTGTGGTTGTTCCTGCACCCTGCCTGTGCTGACTCACACACACACACTAGGCACCCTTGGTACTCAGCTATAAAGGGAATCTTCCAGATCATACTCTTTTGGGTTAGTCTTGCCAGTCTAAGTCGAGTTCCATTTAATCTGTATCTACTTTGCTGAGTATAATTTGGGAGAAACCCCATGAGTTTTCACAGTTACAGTTCTCTAGATTTATAGCCTGTAAACAAGATCTATAATTCAGGATAAACCATAATTGCTGGTATGCACACAACCAGACCTTACAATGCAGGTTCCAGTCTCCAATTTAAGAACTGCAAATCAGTGCATGCTGCCTGGTTGTAATCCCAGGCTCTGACGCGCACAAAGAGGCACTCATGCAGATTTTGGGAGACTAGAACAGGCTTGTCTCAACATAACAGAAACTTGTGTGTTCTTCCTTTTTCATTTCTGCCAGATGCAGTGGAATGCAAGCCCAACAACAATGCCCCCAGCCAGCCACTCAAGCTACAGGTTCCAAGATACAGCGATCAGTTCTGTCCAGAACAACGAGACTATGTTGGGAACTATCATCTCCTCAGAAGAATTAAGGACACATAAAAGTATCACAGAAAGAAAACCTGTCCACTTCCCTAAACAAAAAGAACTCAGCATGCTTATTGCTCACTGCACAAGGAAACGAAACCGTGAAAAGTTAACAGAAAAGAGAGACTGAGGCATTGGAGAGACACACCTCTACCTACACAGACATGAAGCAATACAAAGACTGGCAGAGATGCACAAAAGCATTTGTCTTCAAAACATGCAAGATTGTTGTCTGCCAAAGGTTTGGAGAAGCTACAGAAGACAAAACACTTCCTACACTTAGAATGCAGGAATAGATATAAAGGGCAACTTTCTGATGCTAGGACAAGTAAGTACTCTTAAGAGTAACCTCGGTCCTCTTAACCGAGTTATTACCATTACCACCCAGACAAATTAACTTCACAGCACTCCCATCTGCTTCCATCACTTCTAAAGAAAAAAAAATTAAAATTATTAAAAAAAAAAAAATCAACAACTGGGGTGTAACTAGCTGTTCAGACTGGAAGGGACCCGAGAAGCTTCCAGAATTTACAGTACAGGCCAGAGACTTATATAAGTTGGAAATGAGCTGAGGCAACAGGAGGGGAGTTTATGTTAAGCCTGTCCTGGGGATTTGCAGTAAGGCTCAATCCTCCAGGTGACAGTCATTCATTCCTAGCATGACCCTTGGTCACTTGATGCAGACATACTGTTACAATTACATTCCAGGTGAAGGCAGTTCTGGACCTTTCCATCCATCAGTCTGGCAAGTCTGAGACAACTACTTGGTATGAAGCAACATTCCTCTAAATGCCTTAAGTCACTTAGTCACTTCAGTCACTGCAGTTTGCAACCAGGCACTCAGTCACAATATGCACCCAAAAGAAAACAAACAGGACATATTAAAGTAGGTCCAGCCAAAACAGAAAAAGGATTCCACTCTGGGAAAGAATAAGGGAGCTACTCCTTCACAAGCAAATATAAAAGAAGTTACTAAACAAAGATGGAACAAACATACACTAGTAAGCAATAAGAACTCTAAGGAGCTGAGTTCTCTCAAGACAGTTTTTAAAAAGAGGACATAAAACATTGTATATCAATCAACTGTACAGTACACGGCCCTTCTCTGCAGCAAAGCAAAAACTAAACCAAAACAAAACCTGAAACAAACAAGAAGACATTAATTTCCTTCATTTTCTTAAATGTATTCATGAAAGTTCCCAGCTTAGGAACATTGCAGGAAGGGAGCAGTGAAGCTACAGACTTTAGAGTAGCTAAGGAAGAGCTGCACCTTCAACCCTGATGAATATGGTGATCTTTTAGGCTACAAATGTAGGTAGCCTGCCCACAGGCTTGAGGCCCAAACCAACTATCTTCCACTTTATAGGTAGGAGGACAGTAAAGAATGCAACTGTCTTTTCAGATTAGTACAAATCCTGCAGGAGGCACAGGGAGATAGAAACAGTTAAGAGGTTTTTTCCTACTTACTCCAGCCCATCTACAACATCCTCCTCCTCCTCTGAAGACGAGCCACTTTCCTCCAGATCTCGAGCCATCCCAACTGGCATTTCCTCTGGGAGTTTTCATACAGCCCAGTCTCAGTAGCCTCCGAGAGTCCTTCCTGCAGATTCAAGGGATGTTGCAAGCACAGTTACCTGCAATAAGGATTAAAAGCACGAATGCGTAGCTGAGTAGGACAGTAAGAGAAATTAACTCCCACCTCCTGTCAACACGTATTTCTCACAGGACTATCAACAAGCTTGTTACAGGCTGTAAATCACCTCCTAGCCAGAGGAGTGTAGGAAGAAGCACCACCTTCCAGCAGATTATTCCCCACCGGCCCGCGAGAGTCACTCAGGCGCTCACCGCTGAAGCACGTCCCTGCCCTGCTCTGCCTCCGTCCGCAGAACCGCACCAGGCTGGCCAGGCCCGGCGCAGCGGGAAACGCCTGCTTCTCCCCCGCGCCGCGACCCCCCC